CCAATCATCAGCTGGCAGTCTGAAGGGCAGGGAAACAGCCCAATGAACATCACCGCAGAGGAGCCAATCAGCTAGATGTTGCTGGGGCAGTCTGAAGCTTGCTGGCAGCTGGAAGTTTGCTGGGGCCCCTTTGGCTGTGGCTCTCAACAAGTTTCTAAAACAAAAACAAAAACAAAAAAATACCCTATATTTTGGTCCCACTGCTACCTGATCCCCTAAATTGATCAATCTGAATATTTGTACTTTCCAAGGTAACAAATGTGTTTTCCAAACTTTTCCTGCAAATCTCTCTGTAGTGGGAGGGTGGGGGGCACTGGAAGGAGCCATGCCCAGGAGAAGCACAGCAAAATCAAGAGCTTTAACCTAGGGTAGGGATTTAGAATTCATCGTTAACTTCACTTCCTACTGTCCAAGACTAAATCGCCAGAGGAGTTGAGAAGTTAAAAAAAGAAAGCACACAGCTGTCTAGACTTGGGCTTTTGTTTCTGTGTATTTTATCATCAAAAAGCCACAGATGCGTTCTTGAAAGCAAAGGCCCTTCTGCTGCAATCCTTACAAGTGCTGACAACAGAGACCTCAGAAAACAACTTCACAGGAAGTCTGAGCTTCTTTGGTTGTGGTTTCCCTTCGTGGTGGAGAAGAGCCCTTCTCAGAGAAATGAGGAACAACACCCGCCCAAGGGCATGCCTGCTGCTCACCTGTGCAGGTATTCTAAGCTGCTGATTGAAATCCCAGGACACCCTTGAGTTAAGATTCCTGGATCTTGATGCTCATGTTATCAGAACCACGTGGAAGAAATTGGTGCTTTGTGTGGTGTTTATTCTGTCAATTGCCAGCAATGAGTAAGTGTAAGAGAGCTTCTGATTCAGAAAGCCTGTTAACCATAATTAGCCTTTCAAAGCATTCTCCAGAAAAGCATCCCCCCCTTTATCTTTTATGAAACCATATTTCATTGTGTCTAAGACATCATAGAGAGTGTAAGAGAGGAAAACAAGTTGCGAATTAAACCATGGCCCCGTGCTTTTTCACTTCTTAGGAGTTGCCTTGTACACTGTTCAAAGAGCTTTTAAACTTATTCAGACAGGTTTTCTCATCCTGCGTCACCTTGGGGCACATGATAAAAAAAAAACATGCAAAGAATATTAGTTAATTAGGGTGTATTGAGTCTAATTTTTCTGAGTCACATCTCATTTTAATTCAAAGTCATCAAATCTCTTGTTTTGCCAGACTCTCCCGCTTTCTAGGTCCAGCGTTGCAAACTTGCTCTGCAAAGGGCAAGATAGCAAATAATTTAGGTTTTGCCAGGCCCTGTGCTCTCTGGCACAGTTACTCAACCCTGTGGCTAAAGAGCAAACTCAGACATAGGCAATGCTTAAATGAATGGCATGGACGGGTATGTCCCCCTCTATTTATTTATTTATTTTTGGAGGGTACCAGGGATCACACCCAGGGTTCTTCAATCACTGAGCCACATTCCTAGCCCATTTTTATTTTTTATTTTGAGACAGAGTCTTGCTAATTTGCTGAGGCTGCCTCAGCCTCCCAAGCTGCTGGGACAAAAAAAAAAAAAAAAATTCGAACATGAAAATTGAATTCCATAGATTTTTCATGTTTTGAACTCTAATAATTCTTTTGATTTTTTTCAGCTCTTTAAAAATGTAAAAACGTACTTATAGGCTATACAAAAACACAGAGTGAACTGAACTTGGTCTGTGGGTGGTGGTTTGCCAATCATTGCCCTATGCCATTGGAAGCATTATTAATGCAATATATATATTTTAAAATATATACTTTAGCTTACAGGACTATCTTTGGGCCACTGACACTTGATTTATAAATTTGAATACTGGAAAGCTTCACTAGGATAGGCGGTGTTGTGCTGCAATAACAAACAGTCCCAGAATCTCAGTATCTGAAAACAAAGGCTTATTTCCTCTCACACAAGGTCCTCTGAAGGTCAGGGCTACTCTCTAGGCCAGTTTCCCCATGTAACGAATGAGCTTTGCTCCTCCATACAAACATGGGCCTCCTCAGTATGGACAGGGGACAAGATTATGGGAGATCACACACCAGCTTAGTTTTCCTCCAGAGGTGCATGTGTCACTTATAGGTAAAACCAGCCACATGACTCTGTGCTTTTAAAATACATCTACAGATTTATTGACATTTCCACTTCCAAATGGAGCCTGAATCCTTTTCCCTTGCAGGTGGGCCAGGCGGAGTGCCCCCCTGCTGGTATCGTGTGACTTGAAAGACCCGGTCGCTAAAAGGCTAAAAGGATACCTGACCTGGCCACCATTCTCACATTACTCACTCTGGTGAAGGTCAGCCACGGTGGCATGAGGACACCCAAGCAGTCCTGAGGGGCCACAGGAGGAGGAGTCCCTGTGGGGAGGAGCTGGCTCTCGGGGGTGAACTGGCTGGCTCTGTGGGTGGATCCTCCAGCCTCCATCTAGCTCTCAGGTGACTCCAACCTGCAGACCTCAAGTCCTCCAGCTGGACCCTTGAACATAACCAGGCAGAGATAAGCCATCCCCCTCACACCTATGTCCTACCAGAATTCCTGAGCCACACAAATGGTGAGGTAACACGTGACTGTCATTGTTTTAACCCGCCAAGGTTTGAGGGTTATCTGTTACACAGCTATAGACAAACCATGCGTGTTGCTTTCCCAGAGTTTGGCAAGTCCAAGTTTCCCATTGCCCTAACGAAGGGAGGAACTAGTGGCTGGTAAATGTCTTGGTCTAACACAGAGTGTCAATGAAAAGTTTCCAAACAAAGACCCCAACTCATTCCTTTCTTCAGTGGTTGACCAGAGGCTGTTGACTGAAACATCGTGGGATTACTCAGATCCCAAGATATTGCCAGGTATGATACCCAGGTTCAGAGATATTCAGGCAATGACACTGAAGCTGGACAGCCATTTTTAAGTGTCTTTGTTGAAACAATACTCCTTGGTTTTATAAACATTAAAATGTTAAAAAAAAAAAAAACATTTGAGAATTCCTAGAAATTTATTTTCTTTAACTAGGAAATCAAAGGTAGGAGATTTGGAGATAAAGTGAGAACACTGGAGATGGGGGTCCAGCTCAGTGGTAGAGCATTTGCCCCACAGGCATGAGGCCCCAAGTTCAATCCCCAGCACCAAGAAGAAAGAAAATAAGAACACAGGTAGAAAAAGTTCTCATACCCAAAGCAAAGCAAATGACAGTGAGTGTTCTATATTTAAAAATATACACATGGCTACATAAACTATAAGTATAATCATAATCATAACCAAGGTCTATCTGACTTTTACACAGTTTGAAATGTTCCAGATTCAATTAAAACCTACAACTATCTCAACTATCTCTCTATATATGTTATGCATATATTCATATTTGTGTGTATACATACATACATATGCATATATGCACATACATATACACATATGTGTGTATATGTGTGTGTGTGTCTACATAGAAAGAGAAAGAGAGAGAGAATACTTAGGGGATGTATATACCTGCTGTGTATGAATTTTCTGTAAATCCTTTGTAGTAAACAGCAGTCTTGATCATGCTTGACTCATAACTCTTTTGTTGTACCAGCAAGACCTGCTAGGATGCAGCAAGAAGCAGCATGATTTTTACCCCAGGCTCCGTTCCAACTGTGTTTTTTAATTCAACCTTTACTTTTCCCTTTTGTGAAATCTTGGATGAGACCCCTCACTCTTGTCTAGACATACTTTCTTTTGAAATTGTAGTTAAAAAAAATACAACATAGATTTTACCTTTGTAACATTTTTAAGTATACAATTCAGTGATGTTGTGTATCTACATTTTCATGAATCAGATCTCCAGAATTTTTTTCATGTTGAAAACAAAACACAATATTCATTAACCAACTCCACATTTGCCCGTCTTCCCATCTCCTGGAAGTCCCCATCCTAATTTCGGTTTCCATGAATTTGCCTACTTTAGGTATCTCACACAAGTGGAATCATATGAGATAGATAGATAGATAGATAGATAGATAGATAGATAGATAGATAGATAGATAGATAGATAGATTTTTTTGTGGCTATCACATTTCTCTTAGCATAATGTCTTCAAAGTTAATCCATGATGTAGCTCAAGAGAGGATTTCCTTCCCTTTTAAGACTGAATAATACCCCACTTTGTTTATCCATTCCTTCAGTGAACGTGATGTATAAATATCTCTCCAAGACCCTGCTGTCGATTCTTTCGGATATAATCCCAGAAGTGGGATTGCTGGATCCTATGGTAGTTTCACTTTTAACTTTTTGAGGAAGTGCCATACTGTTTTCCATATTTGTTGTATATTTTACAGTCCCACCAAGAGGGTACAAGTTTTCCAATTTTTCTACAAGCTTACCAAATCTTTTTATTTTATGGGGTAGTCATCCTAATGGATACAAAGTGATATCCCTTTGTAGTTCTAATGTGCATTTTGTCTAGTCTTAAATAATAAAGTCCTTTGATCATTTTTAGTTCCAAAGAATAATCTCAATTTAGTAAACATGATAAGCAAAAAGTTACATCTCCTGTGCACTCCTGAAAAGGTGTTCCCATCCTAATCCCTGGAATCATAAAGTTATGTTATGTAGCTTTTTAGATACATTACAAGGGGGCAATAAGATGGCCGGTGGAAATAATTAGACTTCCTCACAATGAACCCAGCCTAATTCTTTTTTTTTTTTTTTTTTTTTTTGTGATGCTGAGGATAGAACTCAGGGCCTTACGCATGAAAGGCAAACACTCTACCAACTGAACTATATCCCCAACCTTAATTCCTTCTTAAGATTAGGAGCCATCTCATCATAAAGTCATGAAAAGTTAATTTCTGTTTTATTATAAATTACTGCGATTTCTAAACTTGTTTGGAATTCCTGCCTGTGCCTTGAACTCACCCATGCCTGCTTTCCCTGGCCAGATAACAACCCTCTCTGAAACCTCAGTGGCGCCTCGTAAATTTTGAAACACCTTGAAATATAATGCCATGTAGATCATTAATCTTCTATCTGCCTTTGTATTAAGCTTGTTGAAATCCTTTTATCTGTAAGTTCTCAACTTTTTGTGCTATATAACCGTGTTCCTGGAGAGCTGGGGTGCTGATCTCTGGCCCAAGATTTCGGGTGAGACAGTTGCTGGCCAGCCTTTGTGTACACAAATACAAGCTTGCTTTCATTTGATTTAAAATTGGGGTCAATGGTCTTTTCTTAGCATCGGGGATCAACACTTGACTTCCAGAATGCTTGTGACTCCTCCAGGTTGGGAGATGGAAGGTTCAGGAAACACCATCCTCAACAAAAGCAGATGCTTGCATTTTCCATTGAAGCAGACTCCAAAGATGATTCTTTTTCTCCTGTAGCACTTAGTGGTATCTTCAGAGTTAACCCCTCTGGACTCTTGGGCAATGCTTGCCTCTGGCCAGATGTTTCTCATTCCATCGTCATCCTCTGCTGCCAGGGGTAACCTGTCCAGCCTCTCAGATGAGTCCCCTCTCCTTTGCCATGAAGACTTTAGGCATACATCTTTTCCAGCAACCCCACAACTGGACCTCCCCACTGTCCTCTTGGCCCAGGAGACCTCTCGGGCATCCTCTCCCCTATGCCCATCATTGGAAGATGCCCAGTTTTCTCTCCATTATATATATTTGCTTAGCCATCAGCAGGCAATTCTTTGCTTAGCCATCAGCAGGCAGTTCCTGCCATAGCCTTTGACTTTTCAGAGGACAACAAGGTTTAAAATTTGTAAGTGTGTCTTAAACTACTTTTAAATAATAATCTGGATTCATTCAGCATTTTTTAAGATGAAAATTATGAACTATTTTTCTGATCTTGCTTTTTAGATACTTTGCCCAAGCTTTTTAAATTAGTCAATTTGTGTTTTTATTTGGCATATCTACATAGAAGAAAAACGGTTTCAGGAAGTATGATATGGTTGCACCTATTTATATGAAATGTTGGTTAAAACTTGGAAATTCTGAGATGATTCACATTTCTTCCTTAAGTGATTTATTTTTTCTTAGGGCTATTTGCAAAGTCCATCTCTTCTGAACATTTGCCCCAAACCCCACACTTTCCAACTTGAAACTCGGGATCATTGCGCCACGTCTGCATGAAAAAGGACATTTTACAAGAACTCAGCTAACTGTAAGTGACTTGAGCCACTACTTCCTCTCTCCCCTTCCCTTCTGTATCTTGCTCAAGTTTGTACTTCTCTGGGGGTTCAAAGGATTTGCACATCATGAAATTGATTATTGTTTATGTCATGAACTGTCTGTCACTCTAAATACCAACTTAAATAACTTTCCAATCCAAATCCAGGATATCAAAATCAAAGTTACCTTACAGGGGATGGGGTTGTGGCTCAGTGGTGGAGCACTTGCCTAGCTTGTGTGAGGCACTGAGTTAGATCCTCAGCACCACATAAAGAAAAAAAATAATAAAAATAAAAGCAAAGTTACCTTTCATATGGGAAATGCTCAGCTTACCTTCTGTAGGTCAGTTCTTGAAAACACACACAAAAAGAAAACCCTTGTAAGTTACTGAGTCTTAGAAGACTGCTGAGGACCTAGAGAAATGGGGAGGAGGCCTACTTGCACTAAAAATCATCGCAAACCTTTTGAATTTTACACAAATAGATTCTCAATTTTAAAAATTTGTTTTAAAAGATAATTTCCAAGTGAAAATATAAAATTACCATATAGCATTCAACTGTTGTTACAAGCAAAAGTCTCCCTTTGATATCAGAAAATAGAGTTTAAAATTTTTTAAGGATAGTTGAATGTTGTTTAGTAAATGGAGGATTTAAAACTGAGTTAAGCTTGGTAATTTTTTTTTTTTTTTACTTTTTTTTTTTCACTTTCTGGGAGACAAAGATAGTCTTGGCTCTCATATTGTTTAATATTGTGACAGAGAAAGCATGGCTTTTGTGGGGTGTGACTGTGTACAAAGCCGGATTCACAGGTCATGGGTCTCTTTCTCATCGGGGTGCCTGCGGTCTAGCAAGCTCCAGTTGGGTGTCGGGGACAAAGAAGACCTGGCGCCATCCTGGAAAGACACTTGAACTCTGGAAAAGACAAGGTGGCGCTTTGACTTCTCTGAGAGGAGACAGCAGACCTTGAAGCCCAGGAGCAGCACAGGGGCAGCAGAGGAGCCCCTGGTCTCTGAACGCAAGGGAGGCCTGCGAGTGGAGAGGAGGGAGATGCTGCTTCTCCTTGCTGGGTGTCCACACCCAGGACACATGGGAAACCCAGGCCTGAATCCCCAAGCAACTGGCCCAGCTCCCAGTGGTGATCCCGCTGGGCAGCGTAAGGGGGGTAGCAAGGGTGAGGAAATGTCCTGACCTCTGAGCTCAGGTAGGACCTTCCCAAGCCTCTGCTTTTCTCGTTTATAAATCAGGAATAACTAGAAGCACATTGTAGAGTTGGTGTGCGGGATTGACGTAGGTGAAGTGACTCTCACGGTGTCAGGGAGCGTCAGAGTTGCTCAGTAACTAGTCCTTTTGTTTCTGTTCCTGTTGCTCTGCCCTGTAAACAAAACTCAGTAGTAAGGGGGCTCCTGTGATCGGCTCCTTTTGCCCTCATTTCCCTCCCCTTTTGTGGTGACCTCCTGCACCACCCAATCTGTGAAACCAGGAACTGCATTTTCCAGACTCCTTGCTTCTAGGGCTCCAGAGCCAGCCAGGTGACACCAGTAAGAGACAGTCGTGTGACATGTAGAAGCAGAAGGAGACGGGGACCATCTTGTTCCTTCTGGAAAGTCAGGTCACAAAGATGTGGGGTCTGGAGGTAGCGGGGACCATGGTGGCAGCAGACCCCACGGCAGAGGTTCACCCTTGACGTCAATCACTGGCCCCTGACTTCTGCTCCTCAGGCCCTTCCAGTGGCTTTGTTAAGCTTCTGAGTCCTGGGTCGAGTCCTTTTGCTTAAAATACCAAGAATGATGACTCCTGTCTCTAGAACTGAATCCTGACCAATTCTGAAATGAGTCCTCTGAGAAAACACAGAAACCCACACGCAAACCTCTGTGAAGGAATTTATTTCATGCCCCCACCTCAGACTTGCTTAGAATTAGGTTTTGAATTGGCGCCCATGTCTAAGCCGTTTCGATGTTCTTGTTTTTCGAGAACTGTTAACATCAAGCAAGGGAAGCTTCCTGGGTCCTGAAGACTTGACTCTGTTTATATATAATATTGAAGTGCAGGCTCTTTGTGGTGATCATGACCCATCCATTGTCTTTTTTTTTTTTTTTTTTTGGTTGGGAGGAAAATGATCCTTGAAACAACTTGGCCTTCCAATATCTTCTTCCCTCCTTTCATGGTATAAAGAACCCCAGTTTTTAGCTGGGAACACTGCTTCCCAACTGAAGCTTATTCCCAGCCTTTGTTAAGGCCAGGCGTAGCCATTTGACCAAGTCTGGGGCAGTTAGAAGCAAGGTGATGTTTTGTGTAACTCCTAGAAAGTGTCATGAGAAGGAAGATTCGATCCCTTCTTTGCCCCTGCTTCCTTCTTATTGGCTGGAGTGTGAGTGTCATGATAGACGCACTAACAGCCGTTGTGGATCATGAGGTAGCTACAGATCAGGGCAGAGCAGAGGAGAATGAGACTGTTGACCATAGAACCGTTACCATCTAGGGGTGCTGGGTGGGTTGTCTCTGTTCAGCAAAGAAGGGAAGAACAGGACAGAGACAGCAAGCAAGAAGTAGGTTTGTTGCAAAAGCAACAGAGATACAGAAAGAGACTTCTCCAGAGAGAAGGGGCCCCAGAGCTGAGAACCCAGTGGGGAGTTTGGCCTGTTCTTTTATGGTCTCTGGAATTTCCTCCTTTCCTTATCCCCTCCCCCATCCACACTTTCCCTACATTCATTTCCTTTCATTTCATGGGTGCTCCTCTGTCCCCATGTCTGTCTTAGTGTTTCTACTGGGTCCCCTGCTTGGGAGCGCGAGTACAGGAATGTCTGTCTGGTTGGGTCCCTGCTTGTGTCCATGAGGACTTCATCAAGCAGGAAGTTGGCCTTGTCAGAAGACCCTCTCCCTGCTCCCATTCTGGCCCTGCCCCTGACCTCCTCACTTGACATCTTGCCGCGGCTGCCTCAGCCCTTCTCCGTTTCCCTCAGAACCACCCCATAGGCCTGGATTACCAGTGGGGCAGGCTGTGAGAGATGTTGATCTCAGTTTAAAATTAAAGACACGAAGATGATTTCACAGGGGCCAGTTCAGTGTACGTGGCAGCAAAACATCATTTTGGTTGACTCAGGTTCTTCCGTAACCAAATAAAGATACCCATTTGGGGTTGAGTCAAAGGCAGGTCCTGGCCCTTGCTGATGTGTCTCTCAGCATTGGAGTTATCCATTCAAAGTGGAGGAGTTTTGTTAGACCGGCCCTCTGCTGCTCCTCGTGTGACCAGAGCCCAGGCGACAGCACACCTCGTGGTGCAACCTGCTCCGCAGCTCTGTGTTCTGAAGCCCGTAGACCAGCGGGTTAAAACACTGGGCAAATGCAAAGACACCAAAAAGCACCAGATTTAGAGCAAAGAAAGACACCCCACACCTCTTGCCTAAACCCAAGATGATCAGGGTTGGCAATACGTGTAAACTTATCTGCACTAAATGAATAAGAACTGTTTTCCTCGCTTTGAGGTTGGACCTGTTAAAATGGCCGGCTCGTTTCCCTTCTCGATAGATCAGAGAGTAACTTAGAAGAATGACAGATAAAGGAAGGAACAGGAAAACCAAGCCCATGGCTCTGGCAGGAATGCTATTCAAGGTCACAGGGCATAGGGGTTCCAACTTAAAAACAGCAATGGGGGCTAAGTTAGTGACCTCGATGAGGAATAAGCAGACATTCTTGAGTATTATGGTCATCCAAGTTCCAGCCAGAATCCTGTACTTAACTGAACCCACCAAGGACAGAGATTTCAGTGGCCAGCAAATTGCCAGGTAAGTGTTGAGAGCCATCAAGGCCAGAGTGAAGAGAATCCCTTCTCCAACACTTAGCTGCACCCCAAACACCACCCAGCAGATGAGCCGCGGGCTGTGGGCCAGCAGGGCCCGCATTCCTTGGAAAACAACCCCCAGGCCACAGTAGGAGGAGATGCACAGCAGATGGTGGCAGAGGAGGATGTGCCGGACCTCTTTCCTCAGTTTCCGATCCTGTGACACTATGGTGACAATGACGATGGTGATGAATGTGGCGAAGGAGAAAGCAACCAAATACACAGAGGCCTTCACCGATGCTTCCAGCCTCAGCCAATCTGATATGTTGCAATGCTCAGAAGACACGTTCATGATCTTTGGGGCTGGCTCAGCTCCTGGAGGAGAAAGGGACAAGAATAAGTGACTCTGTGCTGAAGCTGCTCTTGTGACTCTCAGCTGTCCCTTCTCAAGGAATAGATGCACATCCCTTGGGATAGAGGAAGACAACTTTAGATAGTATTGATATGGATCAGTGAAATAGGAGAAATCCTCAGAAGTCGTCTGCTTAGTTGACGGGGTCATATAATCAAATCATACAAAAAAGGAGGTTTGAAAGATGTGTTCTGAGCACCCAGCAGATTGCTCCAATTCAGGTCAGCAGTCTGATTCTTCATGCATCTTTTTCTTTCTTGGATTGCAAGAGCTTCTTGAAGTAAGAGCCTAAAGCATATTATCAAGTCAATTGATTAGCCACTAAGCCCATGTTAACACCTAGGGCCTGCCGAGGTCTGGGGAAGAGGTGGGGGCCAGAGCTGTGAGGACCGGTCATTCATTCAGGGCCTTCCACGAAAGGGAGATGAACAGTGATGATGGCCATCAGGGCTGACATTTGCTGGACTCTCTCCAGGAGTTAAAACCTGTCTCAGAGCATATTCCTCAGGACCCCCAGTAGGTTTTATCTCTCAGCAAGCAGTTTTAAAATGCACTTTTCACAAATGAAATGAAAAAGACTTAGAAGGGCTAAGATTTACCGTTTGGATCTTGAATGTCTCCCAAATGCTTAAGTGTTAAAGATTAGTCCCCAGGATGGCACTACTGGGAGATGGTGGGGCCTGGTGAGAGAGCTTTCGTCACCAGGGACGTGGCCTTGAAGGGGATACAGAACTCTAGGCCCCCTCCTGACCCTCTTTCGCTTCCTGGCCTGGCGGTGAGCAGTGTCCCTGTGCTACTGCTCAGTCCATGTGCTGCCTTGCCATCTGCCCCAAAGCAGTGGGGCCAGCAACTATGGACTGGAACCTCCAAAACTATAAGCCAAAGTGAGCCCCTTCTCCTCATCAGTGGACCACCTCAGGTGTGCGTTACAGTGATAGAAGGTTGACTGGCACACAGCCACCTCCTCAAGGCCACATGGCTTTTGCATACTGGAGCCAGAGTTTGGATTTCGGACCCCCATGCCAGGATTGGCCCTCTCGACCACTACGAGGAAGCTCATGTCAGATGCAAGACCCAATGAGTGCCTTCTCAGGTTCTCCTATACCCGGGTCCTTTGCCAGCTAGACTCCGCAGGTAGGAATATTGTTTTATTTTTAGGAAGCCAATAGACTGCAGGTCCAGGAAACTGCTGGAATCATGGGATTGCTGCCAAATGACAAAGCAGACACAGTAGACTCAATAAACTTCTCAAGCACGCACAGCAATGAATGGCAGACTGGGTGGTAGCTGGGGACCTTTGAACGACCCTGTCACCACTGTAGCTGTGAAGCCTGTCGAGGAGATAGCAGCTGTCGCCTGCCCACCTGTACCCCATCCAGGGCAATGTACCCTGTGGCCCTGGTTGCCCCACTCCTTTCCCATGACCTACAACATCAACTGAAAATCGTTCTGTAGATTGCACTGAGTCGATCAGAGTCTATCTCTTAAAAACCTGACCCAAGGCACACAAAGATTGATGTTAAGTAGCTAGCCTCCGAGTTAAGTTGTAGTATGAACAAGCAGAAGAGACTGAGACAGAGAGAGAGGGAGGAGAGGACAGAGATAAATGAGGCTATGAAGCCCGAGAGGCCACAGAAGCTCATGCAGACTAGAGGCCAAGGATTCTCTGCGGAACTTCTGATTTCATGGAGATGCCTCATTTTCCCTCTATGGGCTCTAAGACTCTAACACATCCCTCTGTTATTTGAGCTAGTTACATGGATTTTTGTCACTTTATTCTGTCCTCTAGACTTCAAAGTAGAACAAACAGGCCCAGAAGAGGTAGAGCAGATTGATTTTCCAAAGGACTTATCACAATGGAGATGTCACTACTCCACCTTCCTGAGCACCTAAATGCTACCCAGCTCCGCAAGAAATCTCCCACTGAAGACCCCGTTCCTTTTTGCTGGATATTGTGTCGTCGCCTTTTATGGAGAATCTTCCCAGAGCGGATGGATTTTGCTTATAAACGCCAGGCATTTATTTTCTATACTCTAGTTCTACAGAGAGGAATAGAAATTGTAAAGGTCGTGTCATTCTCAAAGTCATTGATGGTCAAGCTTCTTTTAGTGGTAGATTTTCAATGAAAATCTTACATGAGAACCCCTCGATATTAAACAGAAGACTGCACATCTGCTCTTATCAAACGCTTCCTCCTTAATTGCTGACTCCCTAGCCCACGGGACACATTGTTTTGCTCTTGTTCTCAACCAACCTCCATTGAGCACTGAGACATATAATGCATATTCCTGATCAGTGAGGGTATAAGGCAGTAAGAGTCTCTGATCCCTGAACTCATTGTTTAGTGGATAATGCAGATTACGGTTTAATTAGATAACTCTCACCAAGAACTTGTTTAGTTTTACTTATTCACCAAATGAGCAAGAAAGCCAGGTGTGCTTTGGAAGTATTATGAGAAAATAAGTGAGCGCTGTGGTCCAAAGAAGTCAGAGAAGGCTTCCTGGAAGAAGTGAGGTCTTTCAAGGATGAGAACTAACATGAAACAGGGCAGGGGTGAGGTGGGGAGGAAGAGGAGAGATGCTGATTGCAGGCAAAGAGAAACAGTGGGAGCCAAGGTGAACCCTACCTGATGCTGCAGGCGTGAGTATTAGCTGGGATTTATTGGAGAGCAGGTTTGTTCAGGGCACTCAGGACCAGACTTGGAGGACCTCCATACCACTCCAAGGGTTTAAACTTATTTTGTGAGTAAGAAGTAGCCTTGCCAGTTGTCGAGAATACAAATAATAACAAATGCTGGGGAGAATGTGGGGAAAGGATACACTCTTACATTGCTGGTGGTACTGCAAATTAGTTCAACCACTTTGGAAAGAAGTATAGAGATTCCTCAAAAACCTAAGAATGGAACCACCATATGACCCAGATATGCCACTCCTCAGTATTTATCCAAAAGAACTAAAATTAGTATACTATAATGATACAGCCATGTCAATACTTTTAGGTAGTGCAATTCACAATAGTCAATTTATGGAACTAGCCCAAATGCCCACCAATAGATAAATGGACTAAAAAAATACAGAACTTATACACAATGGAGTTTTACTCAGCTATAAAAAAAATGAAATTATGGATGGCATTTGTTGGTAAATGGATGCAACTGGAGAATATCGTGCTAAGTGAAATAAGCCAATCCCCCCAAACCAAGGGCAGAATGTTCTCTCTGATATGTGGCTGCTAACTTAAAATAAGGTGGGGGGGGTGGTAAGGAAGAATAAAAATACTTTGTATTAAACATAAGGGAATGAAGGGAATGGAAAGAGAATAGGAATAGGAAAGATAGTAGCATGAATAGGAGATTACATTCCTTTATACATATATGAATACAGGACCAATGTAATTCCATATTATGTACAACCAGAAGATTGGGAAATTATACTCCATATATGTATAACAGTCAAAATACATTCTACTGTCATGTATAACCAATGAAAACAAATTTTTTTTAAAAAAGTAAATTATGGAATTTTCCAGTAAGAGATGGAATTGGAGAATACCATGCTAAGTGAAATAAGCCAAACTCGGAAAATCCAGAGTCAAATGTTTTCTCTCATAAGGGGAAGCTGAGTAAAATAAGGGGAAATGGGAGCAGGGTTGGATATCACAAAGGCATAGGGAAGGTCAGTGGTATAGAAGAATGAGATGGAGAGAGAAGGACAGGAAAGGGAAGGAAATGTGGAACGAAATCAACAAAATTACACGACGTGCATGTACAAATACACCACAGTGAATTCTGCCCTTATGTGGATTTATAAAGCACCCATCAAAAATAACCAAATTTCCTTCAGAAAGAAGGAGTACTAGAGTAGAAGAAGGAGAATAGTGGGAAAGAGGAATGAAGAGAAAATGGGGGTGAGGGGTTGGGGACTGAAATGGAATAAACCAGATTCCATGCATACATGATCTTGTGAAAACAAACCCAACAATTATGTATAACTGTAATGCACTAATAACAGAAGAAAAAGGAAGCTTGTAGATTCACACTTCTTACTATCAGATTTTGAAGTACTTAGATACAAGTGGAGATAAAATGGTAACTATTGTGATGCCCACCAGAGGTGAAGAACTAGGACAAAGTGCCGTCTGCCCAGGGTGGTATTGGACATGAACCCTGACTGCAGAGCATGTGGCCCAGCAAAAAGGAAATTTGCACAGTGGACCCTTGAACCACAAGAAGTGGCTTAAATACTTTTCATATATATGAATTTCAAGAGGGTTGGAAATCTGCATAATAAATGAAAGCAGGTTTTATTTCCCTTAATTTATTTATGAGACCTCAGGAAGATCAGGAATTTCTTTAGGATCATACACCCAGAATCTCCCCGTCTCCAAATCCATTCTTCTCAGAAGTATATTTGCATACCAGGAACTTGGGACAGCCAAGGCCATGTAATTAGTTCCCCTTTCTACATATTAACTCCATTTAGAGACAGTTCTTAGAGCTGCCTTCTGAAATTCTAAAATGGGGAACAACAACTTCCTTCTAACCCAAAACATTACTTTGGTTTCCACTTTGAGATAGACACAGGAGCCAAGAGACCTCAGCAGAGAGTTACGTTATTATCTCCAAGCACCCTGACCAAATCAGAGCCAGCCACCACCCCCACTCTCTGCAAAAGTCCTGTGGCAGGTGACAAAGCACACCAGATGGCCTCCTGAAGAGCCTTGCTCAGGGCAAACCCTGAACACAACATGCTTCCCTTGGGGACAGAGAGAATATAAGGAGAAATGACCAGGCCATATATAAAAATAAAACTCTGACCTACCATCTGCAGCAACCAACCCAGGAAACCAACCTCTTATGTCCGGTCACCAGACCAGGAAGCCAGCCTGAGCGGTCAGGCTCGCAGGAAGCCAGACTGCTGTAATGACAACCAGGAAGCCAAAGAATAAAGCCTGTAAAAATTGG